GGAAGTGACAACCCCCATCCATGTGATGGAAAATGAAGCAGATGGCTTAGCTAGAAACAGGAGTACGCAATTATGTGTGATGGGGTAAGTAAATTATCTGTCTTCTTTAAAGATGAGACATCATGGAATGCCACACAAAGAGCATGATTCCACCTACTTTGTGGGATGAGGTCCTATGTGTACATGCCTTCAAGGTACCTGTTTATTTATGGTGATCTCATGAATTTCAAAACATTTTTAGGCAACAAATATTCAGAGGTGATTTTGTAAGTTCCTTCCTTAAAACATGACCTAAGAACCTGGATGGTCACCCATCCAAACTGACCCTGCTTAAATAATAATAATAATAACAACAACAACAACAACAACAAAAACAACAATAATTTTATACCCTGCCTCCATCTTCCTGAGGAGACTCAGAGCGGCTTACAAAGGGACAAGCCCAAAAAACAAAATTAAAACACAGTGTAATAAGGTAAAATTAAAAAAAACAAAAACAAAATATCAAAATTAAAATAATCACAATAACACAACACAACATCATGAAAACAATCCTTAGGCTGAACAGTAAAGATAGTAATCTCAGAGGGCTAAGAGTTTGTTCAAGATCAGATTATGGACCTCTTCACATAGGACAAAAAAAGCCCAATTTTGATGTTTTTATTCATGGCAAAAACAGGGATTCCATGCACTATTACACAACACACAGAAGGCCCTGCCCACTTTCCTCCAAAAGTGGAGTGAATGCGCCGAAAGGGAGGAAAATGTTGTATGTCCACGGCAGGGAGGAAAGTGTAGTATGTCACTTCCCATTTCTGGCCCATGTCACCATGTCATGGCAGAAAGGTCGGCAGGACAACTCATGTTGCTGTGCATTGCTGCCCTTTCTGCCATGTGATGGGGGAAAGAAAAAAGGTGCTAAAGCACCCTCTCCCACCCCTCTGTGTGAGGGGGCAGAGGGAGGGTGCGCAGGGCACCACGAGCTACCCCATGCACCTTCCCTATCACCGGCAATTGCCAGTGCAACGAAAGAGCCCAAAAGGGCCAAGTGAAAAGGTCCAAAGTCTGACACCTGTAGGGTATTTAAGCCCCATGTAGGAGAGTCAGTTAACAGCCTTCAAAAATCATGTATCTGTAGCAAAGCACAGCTCAGAATGAAACACTGATTTCTCTAATTGTTCTTTTTTCAAGAAAGAGAAGTGACCATCAATATTATAAATGAAATAAACAGTTGTAGATTGTGTTTTTTTAAATCAAACCCAATCCCCAACATTTGTATATAGAACACAGGTGCATAAATCTTTATGCAGGAATCATACATTTAAATTAACAATTCCAATTGCATCAGATTCCAAATCACACTGAAACCCTTGTGAGAAAAACCTTGCAGACGAGAACAAGCTAACACATGAACCATGTACTATTCATCTTCTTCCAAATAATAACAGGAAAATATAAGTGTATGCCCAAAGAAGTGAAGTTATTCCTTGTTAAGTTTCAGGCATGATGTGATAGTTATGCCTTAGTTAATTACATTAGTTATTTGCAGCTAGTCATAGACACATTCTACTTAACCTACATCAGGATCCTAATGGTATACAGAGATGTTGTTTGAAAAAACATGGTATTGTATTGTGTTGATATATTATCTGTAGTACGATATGAACACTGAATGGTACATCAACCTTCTTGAAGCCAAGCTAATATGTGTATAAACAGGGCCTGGGTGGGATACCTTATGTATAGCACTCTGAGCTCTGTAACAGAAGAAACAGTTGTTGTACTCCCAGTTCCAATCCACCAACATAGCGCATTTTGAGGGAGTTTGGCAAGCCACATGATTTTCACCCCTGCTCTATACCATGTTTGAAGATTATCTCTATAAGTAAAGTGTAAGAGTTAACACAGCAGATGAACATTATTAATCCTGTTCACTCTTCTATTTTTGCCAGAAAAATATACTATAATCCCTGTTTGGTATTTATAATGGGAAGACTGCATGGTGCCTTCTGAAAATACTTTTATGCATGACTTGTTCTTGCAGATAAAAAGCATGGCTTTTCTACAAGACTGACCTTTCCCTATTCCTTTTGACAATATGTAGTTGGGTGTGGAAAGGCTTTAGGCATCACTAATCACCTCCTCTTCCTCTGGTTGCCTTTAATAATTGGCTCTAAAGTGTGCCTTTGACATGTTGTCTTTTCAAGCCATGCTTAGCTTTTTTCTTTGCTATTCTCCTCCTCAGTTGACTCCCCTTGCATTTGATGCCAGCCGTCCTTAATGCTCTTTCTTTAGCAGAGCTCCTTTCCCTCCTCCCTAGAAGTTCAAAAAAGAAAAATGTATTTTGTGCTGTCCCTTCCATCATGAACAATTCTCTTTTCATCTGCTTTTTGGGCTTCACCTTTCTAATCCAGCTGTCTCTTGCTTTATAAATTACTTACATAAACTGTACAGCCTTTATTCCGTTCATTGTCAGAGAATGATAGAGGGACTGGTGCTGGTCACTCAAGCACATGGTGATGAAAAGCATGCTGCAAAAGAACACCCCGGAGGCCCTCACTGTCTTTCCTCACTTTCTGTTCATGGGCTGATTAAAAAAACAACCTGCTTTGTTCTTACTGAATATGCTGCAAAATGTCTATATGGGTGAAATGTTATCCATAGGAACTGTAGCAAATTCTTGCCATAATCAGTATTTGGCCTTCAGGATAAGTCTATAAGACTCTATTACATCCTTTTCAATTGTCCCAATTTGGCAAGGAGAGTCCTGATTAATCTTGCTGCCCCACTTCTTTGACTACTTTTAAAATTTCCCCATTTCTCTCTCTACTTCCCACTTTCCCTATTTATCCTCAGATGGCTTGAATTGTTGCAAATGGAGTTCAAAGTTCAAAAATAGTTTGTACACAGTTCATTCAGCAGAAGAGAGGAGAGGGCAGAAACTTGTCCTTCCAGCCATAAGTGAACTTTTATCTTGTCTTTTCCTCTGCATTGATAGCTTCAGCCATCCTGACCACACTTTGATGTTGCTTTGCACTTGTGTCCTGTTTTTCACCTGGATAATGTTGGAGAGCATGCTGGTGCCTGAGGGAAAGTGAGATTATATCCCTCCCTGCAACACATACAGAAGCTTACTGTGCTGCTAATTGAATACTGGCTCCTTAGCAAATGTTGAATGATGCTGTAGAAAGAGCCATCTCATATTTGCTTCACTTTGTTTAATCCTAGGGTCAGTCCTTGTGGGGCTCTAATGCCACACTTAACAACCACCTGTGGATGAAGAGATAAGATTGTCACAGCCTAATTCAGGCTGGGATTACATTTACACACTCATTTGACAGCAAGTCCCATTTACTTAATGAGTATGCTTTCTCTGAAGACTAAAATATTTTGAATTTGGGATATATATTTTTTAGATTTTGGAACACTCATATTTGCGTATCTGTACATAATAAGATTTCTTGGAGACTGGACCCAAATCTAAATACAGCATGAATGTATGCCTTATACATGTAGCCTCAAAGTAATTTTGTACAATATGTTTAATAATGTTGTGAATTCAAATAATGTTTGTGTAGTTTTGGTGTTTTCCAGGCTGTATGGCCATGCTCTAGCAGCATTTTCTCCTGATGTTCTGCCTACATCTGTGGTTAGCATCTTCAGAGGATGTGTACATTGAACCACTGGAAAGAAGCGTATCAGTGTTTCAGCCACCCTAGTGGACAATTTTAGATTTTGGAATATTTCATATACTGAAATTCCAGGAAAGGGGTGGTCAAGTTGTAAAGATTGAGCAGTTGATGGTTCTCAGCAGTCTTACCCAAGAAGTGTTGCCTGAAGCAAAAGACATGATTGTAAATCCTTTCTCATACATGAACACAAGGTGAACAGAATGGCAGGTCAATTGTTTCTCATCTCCGAGCATATGCCATGAGAAGCATTTGCCTCACTCTACCAATCAGTAGAAGAATTGTGGTTCCTAGATGTTTTTCAGAAGTCACAAATTCAGTGAAGGTTGATATGCTCAAAGAGATACATCAAAACTCTACATCAAAAAGCAGAATAATGTGATCAATTCAAGGTGGAAAAAAGCAGAATAATGTAGTGAGTATGGATTGTATAAATTAGGCATTTTTTTGTTTATTGTTTCTTTTCTGGAAACGAGTAGAAGGTTTTGTAGGTCATTGAAGGAGAAGATTTGTAGAGCTCACACTTTCCCTGAAAAAAAGATTCTACTCTGCTTTGTTCCTTTATTTGTACACTGCCTTTCACTCAAAATGTGGACTCAGATCTAGTCCATTCTATGACAATCTTGTCCAAATATTCCCAAAGAGCTTCTGTCAATCAACATAGGAAATACAAAGCTAGATAATCCAACTGTTAGGATTTCTAGGAGTTGAAGGCTAAAACATCTGGGGACTTGCATGTTGAGAACCACTGCTATAGACCATAGGGGTCCACTAACATACTTTTTATATATAATAGTGTTTTATTTCAGCTGCTTTCAGTTCCAATTCTAAACCAAGATCCATGTGCATTAAATAGGCTGTATTTTCTAATTAACATGGGGCAATATGTATCTGGGGGAGCCAGTGTGGTATAGCAGTTTTACCACAGAACACTAAAAACCAAAGTTTGAATATCTGCTCAGTCATAAAAATTCCCAAGTAAGCTTGGCAAGTCACTCTCTTTCAACCTCAAAGAAAGGCCATGGCAAACACCCTCTGAGCAAATGTTGCCCCCAAAAAACACCCTCATGATAGGTTTTCCACAATTTGGAAAAAGATTTGAAGACATACAACCACAATTCTATCAACCTGCACTTTTCCATTAGACCCTCTCTCCTTAGTTTTCCTGTTTATATTGAATTTTAGATTGTGGCCTCTGATAGCCAGGATCGAAGCCTTTGTGCACATTTCTGGTACTAGATCAACAAACAATGACAAGTCTTTGGTCTCCAAGTTTTTTAACTCCTGTTTTTTTTTCTCTCTCTCTCCTAGACTAAAGAGGCTCTTCTTCCTGTTTTCTGTTCATCACTGAGAAGCTGCTTTCTTCTCCTGCCAGGCACCAGGTTTCCATGTGGCAAACAGCTGTGCATGGCAAGCATCCAGAAACAACAAGGTTCTTCTGAAAGGCAGGATTGTTTCTGGTGAGAAATTGAACGCACTGATGACTATTCTTATGGTGAGTGTCATACTGTGGTTCTCCATTATGGGGTACAGCATTGACCACTGGGTTTTGCAGAATTGTTATGGTCTTGAATTGTGGAACAGTCATATCCAAGATGAGTAGAATATATTATTGTTGTTCCTTTTAATGTGTTATTTATTACACTTTTTAAAAAACAAGCTTGTTACATTGTTTGTTTCTTATTTGTTACTTTTTAGTTCCTTTAAACCAAATTCACTAAACCAGTAGAAAATAACCAAAGATCTGGAAAAGTTGAAAGGATGGTCTCAGAAGTCAATTATTGCACAAAAGAAATAAAGCACATTCATTTTTTAAAATAAAATTGCTTCCTTTCATTGCCTCTCTCCAAATTAATAAGTTACAGTAACAATTTCATTTGTGATTGATTGTTTTCAGGCAATGGTTAACATAGAGAAAAAAATAGGCAGGTGGAATTTCATGTAGATGGAACTGGCTCAGCATTTTGTGGCCTAATTTGAGATGTTATTGTGGCTGATGCAATGGTCTATGATTGCAGAAAGCAATTAGAAATGTACAAAAAGGGACATTTGTCTTTTCCATGGTCTGTGGTTGACATTTCCACTGAGACCAATGTGAAACAATGTTTTCTACCAAGAAGTGACAAATGCCTGTCTTTTGTTTCTGTCTCACATTGCCTTCTGCTGATCCAGACGGTAATAACACAGTACAGTGGAAACCTCTGAATGGAATGAATGGATGCTTACATTGTATATGCTTTGTGGAAACATACTCTAATGTATTCATATAATGGAGGTCTCTTGATTTGCTAACATTTGGGTGAGCTGTCCATTTTAGGGTGGGTCACTTAGACTAATGTTCAGCAGAGCATTTGACTTTCCAGTTTTGACTGCCTTCTGCTGTTTTCTCCTGCCAATAGTTCAAAAACTAGGTCCTGGGTTCCAATTGTAGTTCACTGTGGATGCAGGAGATAATTGATTTATAAATAACTCTGTAGGCACTCACACACCCCACCCCAGTATGCTATTGCCATGTGTTGTGGCACATGGCTAGCTAGTCATTTCAAAATGAGTCACCAGCAGTCATGACAACAAGAAGCAGGGGATATTTAATGCATAGAGAGGGGGGTTGTCCCCATGTTCATTGGAACTTTAGCTCAGGGCAGACACATGTAAAAATCTTTGTCATTAGACATATAAAGTTTGGATGGAGGTGAGACTTCCAGTCCACACCAGCAATCTGTAGTAGCAAATCTGAATGTAGATGTGATGTTTCTGAATTTTTGAGGACATACTAGCAGGGTTGAAAGATATCTTCTAGTACTTTACAGGAGGTCCAGCCTTTCTCTGTAAATCCAGGAATTTCCCACTCCATCTCTTGACTATGAATGGATGATCTGTGCCTGAAAATTCTACAAAAGTAGACTTGACAAATGCACAAAGAGCACCTAGACATGTACAAGTGCTCTACGTGTTGGTTTGTGGCTCATGCTAGCTGTGGTGAAACCTCCCCTCTTCTTTGTGCATTCAGTATACTTTTTTGGCCAAATTAGCAGGGTTCATGAGTCTGATGGTGGCACTATGACTCAGAGAGGAAGAAAAGAGCCTAATTTTGCCTTCTGTTGGAACTGGAGACATTTCAGATTCATACTCAAAATAATTTCAGGCAACATATTTATATTGTCTTTATAATGCTATTAATATGTGGATCTCCTGTATGATGAAATACCAAATAAAAAGGGCACTAACAAAAAGAGCTCCAAAAATCATGTATAATATTAAATCCCAAGTATGACCCCTGGTTTTATTCTACGCCTGTAATTATGGATATTCCAGGATTTAGTTAATGTCCATATCTTTGTCACTTTGAATCTCAGATTTTGGGAAAGGTGGAATATATATGAAATATGAAAACTATAATTGATCAGAAGATGGTTGTGATATTGAGATGGAAAAGACATATGAATGAAGATGTGAAACTGACAAGGATCTGAAATAGACTGTCTATCCATCCCTATCTATAATAAGGCTGGGGGATTAAGTACTTTCCAAGTTATAGAAACACCAACATATTTGAAAGCTGTTCTCCCATTGCCTTCAGATCAATAGAGTAATTCGTTCAATGTAGAACAAAGTTTCAAGAACTACACATGAAATCTTAATAGCAAACTATAATGTCTCAAAGCCTCTGAGATCCATATAGAGAACTCGTGTCATTTTATGGTTCAATAAACCCTTATAAGACACCAGTAGGTAAGCACAACTCAGACATGTTTCTTAAGAGCTGATGAAAGCAAGGGAAAGGGAGGGGGGAGATTAAAGAACCAAGCCATACAAGTCTTACTATGTTCTAAAATCTGTGAGGATGAGGTGCAGGAACTAATTCTTCTGCCTATTATAGTGATATACTCAATTGCTCTTCGGAGAGACTTTTAAAAAAGAATTATCCCTTGCAGTACAATCTCTCCCCCCCCCCCTCCAAAAAGTCATTAACTTCATACTGTACACTTCCCCCAAAAGCTATTGCTGAAGTGATGGTTTGGAGAGACTTGCATAGCTCTTCTTCATTAAAGATATTGTTTTTATCGCCTCCATGCCTACAAAATTTAGTGGATAGGTAAAATATATTGCTTAAAAGTGCATGCATAGCTTTAGAAAGTATATTACTGGTATACAGACATTTCTTTATCTCCTTCTGTCCTTGAATCTCATACCAATGTTGCTCATCCAGAGAAATCATGAGATAATAGGCATTCTGTACCATTAAACTAAATTAAGGATCCTTATTAGTGCAATGCCATATATATTACCATGAAGTAAGACTTACTGCCGTGTTGTATTTTTGTAGTACACCTTTCCTAACTGAATCCCTTCAAGTGGAGTCATCACTCACCAGTTTGGCACTTGGTCTGTTAGTTGGGGATGCTATGGTTGTGGGTCTTTAGTATGTTGTCCTGTAGTCTCTTTCTAGAAATTTTATGTTATAGTTTCTCTTTCATACTCATTCCTTTCTTGGATATAACTGTTGAATCATAGATTACACATGTGTTGGAAGGAATTTGGTGAAGGTCACTGTGCCTGCAGAATCAGGTGGGGGTTTTTTTGGACATGACTATTCTATAAGCTATTCTATATCATGACCCAGAATTCCAGCCTTTGTTGAGTTGTGCTCAGATTGTCAGAGTGAATGATACTGCCTAAGAGCTAGCAGCTCAACATAACATTGCTTTGAAACTGATAATCAGGGCCAGTCCTGTTATTAGACATGGTGGGACCACCATCTCTGGCAGCAGATTTGGATATCATGCAATGGCAGCCAATTGCTACCATTTCCTCTCAGTTATTTACCTTTTGATAGTCCATGGTATCCATAAAACTCTCATCCAGTCCTACCTATTTAAGGGAGAAATTTTAAGTCCAAACTAAAGAAAGAGCCTTTCCTCAGTCATTATGGTCTGCCTAGATGATAGGAGATGTTCTCAAATACTAAAGAATGCCTTTTCATTATATCGAGTATATAATTACGCAGTGTACTGAACTAATTGCACTTAGAATATTTTGAGGGTTTTTTAAGATTCTAAAGATCTTGCAAATAGGGCCTATATGTGCACCACACATCTGTGTGTGCATGCATATGTATGCATGCTTGCGCATATTACAAAAAGGATGAACCGCTAGAACTCTGTGTACAACTTTATAACTATAAATATATATCTTATGCACTCCATAAACCATACAGATATCTAAGATACAGTGTGTAGATGTGTTCTAATCTATATCAGAATTACTAACAACATCAGTGACAACAGCAACATTTGTTTTTACCTGCCTTTCCCTATGGATTGAGGCAGGGAACAATAAGAAATTAAATACATCAGTGCATTGGACAAATAACATAAAAAACATAACAGTAACAAGTTCAAAGAGCATATAAAACCAATCCATAGTTCAAACTTGGATTTTTTATATGTTCTTTAACAGATGTTCATACTTTAAAACTTAAGGTGGCCATGCATTTTCTTCTGCAGAGAACAGTCCTCTATTTGGAAGGCTGTCAAATGAGATAGTCCTGTTTTTGAAAGAGAATGTTTTGAATGAGCTGTCCAGTGAAAGTATTATGTAATGAAGAAGAGCCATAAGGATGAAGCTGAGGAACCTTGAATTTGTCCTTCCATAAAAAGCAACTGAAAAACAGACCCATCAGGCACAAAAACCACCCCATTAGAGCCTTCATATCTCAGTTTTTTAAAAATGATTTTAAAGATCTGACTTTGTACCTATAAATATAGATTAGCATGATCCAAATCAGTCTTCTCATTTGTTTCCCTTTTTAAATGATGCATGTCCTCTTTTCAAAGTATTATATAAACTATGGACAAAATCACCTCTGAGTATTCATTGCCTAAGAACAATCTATGAAAGGGGTTACTGTAAGTTTTTCTGGATTTATGGCCATGTTCCAGAAGCATTCTCTCCTGAAATTTCGCCTGCATCTATGGATGCCTGCCATAGATGTAGGCAAAACATCAGGAGGGAATGCTTCTGGAACATGGCCATACAGCCCGAAAAACTTAGAGCAACCCAGTGATTTTGGCCATGAAAGCTTTTAACAACACAATCTATGAAATGTTGTCACCATAGACTGATGGGAGATTTGTCAGCACATATACATACAAGTGGTCAACCTGGACAGAATGGAGAAAGCATGGCACATGGGACTCATGTAGCTTCAGATAGTTTAGTCTGTGGGCCTGGGAATCTCTGAAGCCTGCCAACATGCTTCCAAATTTAACTTTTGGGGATGAAAAACAAGCTTTAAAACTATGGAGAAAACAGCACAAAATTATAGAAGCTTGGATCTTCTTGCCTGTTGCTACCCTGTGTAAATTGGGATTATAGGTCAGATTTGGAGTGATTGTGATGCCGGACTTAGCGCGGGTATGCCGATCGGGTGTCCGCGCTAAGTCCGGCGTCAATTGTGTGACCTATGGAGTAGGTGCGTAGGAAGAAAGGAAT